TGGAAGACAGCATAGTCCATCTGTGGAGGTGGATCTGTGGCGGTGGAGTTGCTGATGTGTTGCCGACACGTCTGATAATTCTGCGTGGTGGCATCCTTCTGCCATAAAGTTCAAAGAATGGGATGATGTTAAGTTCTTGATGATGGTCATGAATCGAGTATTATCGAAATAGAACGTCTCAACTATATGTTTGGTTATGTCTATTGCGCAAGAATAGAGGTATAGGAGACACATAAAGAGTCTAGGTGCATGGTTCTATAATATCATAAAAATACTCATATAGTATTTTAAACTTTATGTTTGGTTCTTAGTGTTTCTTTGTATGGGGTGTTGGTAAGTTTTAGACTCGTTGTTCACTACGACTATTCCCAAACACATGTTAGTCATATCTCGCATAAATATAGTTGATCAGGCTATATTTATCCCATATATGATTACATAACTATCTAGGCTTAATCGTAGTGTTCACTTTTCCTTTTTACTTTTGTATTGTTCTTGTTATGACTTCGTCCTAGTATGTATGCATGTGCTTATACTTTTATAAAATATCATTATATTTTAAAAGTATACTTGTGCGAAAATGTTTAGTCAGAAAGTTTTTGTCCCATTGTATTTACAGCTGTATATCTTACATGGTTTGATATACTTAGTTCACTGTAAACAATGCTCTGATACCAATCTGTCACACCCCCAAACCAGGATGGCGGAAACGTCCGGTGGTGGATGAATTTCATGTATTGTATCATAACATAAAGCATAACAGTTCCCAAAGCAAACATAACCATCATAAATATAATTGAAAAAATTACATTGTTGTAAGAGTTACATGTTTCAAAATCAATTACAATATGATGATAAAAAGATTTGTCTAGCGCTTTAGCGTCCCATCCTCAAAAGCTTGTTGTTACCTGTTTTAGTGATTTCCTAAGAATACAAGTGGTTTGAAAAAGTGTCAACAATTAAGTTGGTGAGTTCATAAGAGTTTGCATGAAGAGTTGAAAGCCTTTCTTTGCAAAATGATAGTGTTCGTTCCCGAAAATCCAATATTTTCCCTAAAAAATGAGTTGCAGTCTTAGAACCCTAAGACCGAAATGTACAAGTATTTTCCATACTTAAAATAGTAATATGCAATTTTAATTTATATAAAACCGTTTGAATGAATGTTTCCCCGTAAACTAAATGTATCGGTGTTTCCCCATGTGAGTTATTATAACCGTGCTAATGACATAGATGGCCTGTCGCTACGTTCTTCAGGTATCAGAATGTTATGACATTTGTCACCCACGACATGTAGGTCTAACTATAGCTAACAACTAGGGTGTGGGATTGTCAGTCCTGTATAGATCTATACACAAGTATTATGCTCTCTTACGGGAGACTCTGGTTATAATACATGACTTTTGTAGGTACCCTGATAGGTACGATGAAGACTTTGACTCACAAAAATTGATTCAACGAGTTTACGTATTGTTGTAATGAAAACCTTTGTATGTGTAATTATCACTTTTCCATGATAATAAAATAGTATAAAATAATTATATATGTATTTTATATAATTATACACTTTGCTCAACATATTACAAAAGTGTTAAAGATTTATAAACTATAATTATATAGTTTATTATAGTATTTGAATTTTGTACCCATATATACATATATAGGGGTTAGTATACTTAGATATTCATAAATAACAAGTATTTTACATCTAGCACAAATAAATGGGTCTTTAGTATGAAAATGTCAAATTTTCTAGTTTTTTACTTTTAACGTCACAAACGGCAAATAGTGAAAATATAGTTACGTAAAACTTATTTTTACATTTTTGTGATTTTTAGGTCAAGTTAACTTTTTATGTTTTAAACAACATATTTTTGGTCAAAACCCGCAAAAATGGTGCCATAACCTAGTTATAACCATTTTTACTAGAAAATCCATTTTTACATAAAATGATAGATTTTTGGAGTTTTCTTTTTGTAAAACTAAAACCTTGGTATTTTTGACTAGTTTCAAGATATATATCCAAAATAACATATTTTGGTTTAAATCTCACAAAAATGGTGTAATAACTTGGTTATAACCATTTTTGCTAGATTATCCATATTGTGTTCATAAAAACCCTAGTTTTTTTTTTTATGGTTTTGAGTTTATGACTTTTTCATGAGAACATCTAGCATTTTATACTTGTTTTTCATAGTTTTGTATTTTAAACAAACTTTTGCATATAAAAGTTCATAAAGCTTGATAATAACATCATTTCATATATTTAGCACTTTTACTCAAGAAGTAAGAAAACATGCATAAAAACTTGTATATTAACACAAGTTTACTTGTGTTTTACTTGTATTCTCCCCCTAAAACTTAGAAATATCGAAAATGGAGGGGTATGAACTCACGTATGGAGTGGTTTTCTTGATGAATGGAAGGTTGTAGATGGAAAGTTTCAAGTCAAAAACACTTGAAGAACACTTTGAAGATTTGAAGATCCTATGAATAGTAACACATGAAATGTGTGTAAATTGAAATGAAACTAGTATAGGAGTGTGTAGAATCACAAGGAGATGAAGAAAGTAATTACCAAAACTTCAAGATTGAAGCTTGATCTTGAAGAGGGAAGGTAAAAATGATGAAGAGGGTGGGTGTGAAGGTGTTTTCGGCCGCACCTTAAAGAGAGAGGGGGGAAAGGGGTGGGGGTGGGTAGGGTGGTAAGGGTGGGGTGGTGAAGGGGGACATGGATAGGACATAAATGTGGTGCTACTTAGGCTTAGTAGTTGGCTCATTAAGAGAAGAGTACTTCCTAATTACTAGCCATTTTTATAAGAATACAAAAGTCAAACCTTTTATAAATCCTAGCATTTTTATAAAATGGTGGGGTTTTTATAAAGAAAATAGGGTTTAAAGGGTGTATAAAATATTTAATTTGAGTTATAAAAATTCAAATTATTATAACAAACATTGTTATTAAATAACAATACGTTATATGAATAGTTAGGTTAAATTTCTAAGTTTGTTTCGTTAAGTTTTGGTGTTTAGACGGGTATAGAATCTGTCGTATTTGGTGACAAATTCACCTAAAAGTTGTGTTTGTAGCCTTTGCTATGAATTTGTTACGTAATGTTACGTTTATGAACTCCACTACATTTATGTTACGAATATTATTTATTCCCAAATAATATATAACTAAATTTATCGAGTTGTTACGTTACTAACCCTAATTAGGGTTTAAATTTGATAATTGGCAATCTAAAGGGATACTTTGTATTAAAATTGTAAGTTTGTATATTAGGAAACATAACGCTTATCCAACAATCTTAATACTAGTCGTGTTTTTTGTTTGACCCAAAGTTGACAGTTGTCACGTTGTCTAACAAAACATTTGAAGTATAAAAAACCACTATAAGTTCTCTTTGAATTGAAAAAAAAAACTAGTATTTTAATGGTTTAATACTAGTATTTCCATAAAAGACCTTATATTTTGACTTTTTTTCTTTTTAGACCTAAAACTTTTTTCTTTTCCGAAAAAGACCCAACTTTTACATGTTACTTGTTATTTTAGACCCTAACAGGTCACCATAAGGGAAATTGAGTATTTTTATTTCATAAAAGACCCTATATTTTATATTTTTTTTTTCAGTTTAGACCTTAAATGTTTTTTATTTCAAGACTAGTTGTATAAAAAACATGATTATATCCTTTTAGTTTAAACATAGACATCCATTTAAACAATGTAATTATTATGCCTACATTTATTTATGATTGGACAATTTCTTTGTCCACGTATATTTTAAAAAAAAAAGTAGTTGTAAAAGTTATTTCTTCACTACACCAAGTTCATGTAGCTTAATTTCGTCAGGGTATAAAAAACATAATTATATTCTTTTAGTTTAAATAATAGACAACGATTTAACTTTTGCATCTTTTGGCATCGTATTGATTTACGCATGGAACATTTTTTTTAAACCATTACACATACAACAATTTTACTTTTGCATTAATTTATGCTCAAATGGTTTCATTCCCATAATACAGTTTTATGTATTTATATGTGATGTTAACATTTTTTAAGAATGTCTTAAACTTGAATCTGATATATCTAAACAAAACTATTACGAATGTTTAGGATTAATATTTTTATGTATGTATTTGATATAATTATAACATATTATTCAATAATGGCATGGCCGGTCCTGGAGATGTATATATCCTCAAATGCCCAGGACGAGTCAGGGAAAAATGACCCCTATCGCTATTATAAGTTTTTTATTTTTAAATAAATGTATATATAATATATAATAAAAGAAATTGGGTCTGTAGTCTTCAAAAAAAAAAACAAACAGTCTGTGAAGACTAATGTCTGCGCGTGGTCTGCGCGGCGCAGACAGAAGATGTCACGCAGATCTGCAGAGAAAAAACAAACACTACCTAAAAAAATTTATTTTATATACAATTTGTTAAATTACGTGGTATGTTTTTTTTCTACAAATAAAAAAAGTTGTTATTATGCTAAAAGATTCTTCCTAGCCATGTATTATCCATGTTACCAAAAAATATCAAATTAACATCAAACTTTTTATTAGCGGTAATAATAACATTTTTTTATAAACAATATATCAGGTTTAATGATATAATATATATCCAAGATAAAGTTTAATTATATCTTTTATACAAAAATAAAATTTTGCAATTCTTCTAGGTTATATTCGCTCAAAAGATAATAGATTAGATAACATTTTTTAGTTTATACATGTATACTTTCTTTTTTGGTGTAGTCAATAAGTACCTTATATATCTGGTCTTGAAGATTATAACCAATTTTAAAGTTGAGTTTATTTTGAAAAAAAAAAGACAAAATTGCAAGTTTGGTCCCTGTGGTATGGCAAAAATTGGATGTTTGGTCCAAAAAGTTTTGGGGTTGCACCGGTGGTCCAAAAGGTTTGATTTGTTGTGGAATTGGTCCAAAGGCTTAACAGTCGTTTGTGCCCCCCGTTTGTGTGATGATATTTATGTCCAAAAGGATTGATCTTGTAATGTATTTGTTAAATAAGGGTAACTTTTGAATAAGTTAAATTCAAGTTTGATTCCACTTTGACTTTTGACCGGTCAAAATAGAAACCCGATTAGAAAGGGGTCAAGGGATTTTTTTTGTTCGTCATTTGATTGATCGTCAAAGGGAACGCAAAGGAAACGAATACAGAACACGAAGGGAAGAACGAAGGCATAATCGATTGGGAGGAAGAGGAGATTGGAACGGGAATAAACCGAAGGCAGTCAAGAAGAAGGCACAAGAAGTCAGCGAAGGTTCGATCGTTCTTCTGGCTGAAGGAAGAGGGTCCGATGGTTTCTGATTTTTCTTCGATTGATTCGCGATCGGTGATGGCCTCCGGGATTCGACTTAGGCCGAAGAAGAGGAAGGGAAAGGAGGAGGCATCGAGGGGTCTTAGGAGGTGGTAGTCGACGACTCATTCTTCTTCTACTCCAATCATGAGGTGCGATGGGGAAAAACGAAGGGCAAGGTAGTAGCGACTGGTGCCAGTGGAGGCTGTGTTTGGTGGTCAGACAGCCACGAAGAGGAAAGGTGGAGGAGATCGGTCATTGGCTGGGAGAAGCACCTCCGGTGCTTCACTATTTCGCAGAGGAGAAGACGAAAGCAACAATGGCGGCTTAAGGGCGCCTCTTCTATCTCGACTGGAAGGTACAATGGTGAGGGATCAAAAGGGGGCTTGTCGCCTGCCGTGTTTGCTCCGGGGAACCGCACATGGGATTTAGCGGTAAGTATCAATTAATTAGGAGGATGGGGTTTAATATAATAAGATATTAAAAGAAGGGGTATGAATTGACAGAAATACCCTCACACAAACGGAGGGCACAAACGGCTGTTAAGCCTTTGGACCAATTCCACAACAAATTAAACCTTTTCGACCATCGGTGCAACCTCAAAACTTTTTGGACCAATCAATTAATTTTTGACATACCACAGGGACCAAACTTGCAATTTTGTCAAAAAAACATTTTAGGTCTGAAATGGAAAAAACTATAAAATATAGGATCTTTTATGAAAAAAAAAACCTAATTTACTTGTTGGTGACCTGCTAGGGTCTGAAATAACAAGTAACAGGTAAAAGTTGAGTCTTTTTCGGAAAATAAAAAAGTTCTAGGTCTAAAAAGAAAAAAAAATCAAAATATAAGGTCTTTTATGGAAATAACCCTTAAAACAATCTCATAGTACATAGACTAATCCACGCACCATGTTCTTTTCACCCCTTGGTTTAGAGATCTATAATAGACAATAAGCCATTAAACAAAAAAAACTAATATTATGAGACAAAAAACTTGACTATTAATACGAGCAATTGTTAAACAAAAAACTATATTGGTAATTTTTAGCTTATAAAACATCGATTTGAGTTGTAATTATTCAACTTTTTGCCGGCTAAAAAGAACATAAAAAGTGGGTTTTTTAACAGGACACACTACTAGAAAATAAGAATTTAATGATATATGAACTATGACAAACTAATCTTGTGACATACAAAAATGTATGTCATATAAATATCATTTTTTTAAATCTGAAGGATTTACGGCATACATAATCATAATCGTATGCCGTAAATCTGTGTCGTCTTTTATAATATTTACAACATACACAATTTTTGTATGTCCTGTTTTTGTGTCATAATAATAAAAAACATATAGTATACTTCATCAAATATGTACCTATTCTAATCATCATCTTGTAATTCCCCTTTTCCGCTTCAAAGGCTTTCTGACCTCATACTCAGAAAATTCGATGAAAGAATCAACAAAGGACTAGGGTTTTGCTCACAAAATCGTTCACAAAGCCGTCGATTGAGGGTTGTGCGACTCCTCACGCTCACAACGTCGATCATTTAGAGTTCCTCGTCCCAACTCCACCTCTCATCTACCCTACTCCATCTACTTTTGTCCCCAGAGTCTACTTTCCAACTAGTAATTTGAGCCGACGATTTAGGGTATTATGACCCCTCACGCTTACAGAATCGATGATGTAAGGTTTCTTATGATTTTTTTTGTGCTTACAAGCCCTAACTAGGTACAATTCTTTTATGTTGGTTACACTAAGGTACGTTTTCCTTTTTCCATCATGATTTTTTATCCAGTCTTGAATTCAATTCATGCATCTACATTTTCTCTGTCCGTTATTTTCTTTCTTGTATAACACACTGCCAATAGTTGATTATATTGCTTAAGGTCTAGGTTTCCAACTATGTTTTCATTTTGTCCTGTGATTGTGGATTTGAGATGTCCGACTTCAAATCACGTTTATCTATACATAATAGATTCTCCAGCATATTGCAACGAGTGACTTTAACCCCCAAATAGAATGAAAACTATATGCATTTGTGTCATTAATCGAGTCAAGTTGGACACATAAAAAAGGGCTATAGCATTGTAAATCACGTGCCTTCTTGATTTCTCTTGGTTTGATGAAATAAAATAAACACTCCATCTATTTGTGTAGTTAAAAGGATAAAAAGATCAACAATATACCTATATCTGTCAAACAAACCCTAAGTCTTGTTTTGAATTTTGATAGATAACTTAAAGAAAAAGAAAAATGAAAATAGAAGTGCCCTTGATGTCTTCAAAGGTGGTTATTTTGATCCAATCATAAGCAAATAGATGGATTTTTGTTATGCATTATCAGACGAAAATCTGGTAAAATTAAAAATTTTAACAATATTAAAACGATTTCATATATATATGGAAAGCAATCAAGAATATATTTTGGCTACATAAAATATAGAGGATGGGTATTTCGCTCTTTAGAAATATTGTCAAATAGAAAAATTTAGAAAAAAATTGTGGTTTCTATGTGGTTAATTGATTAGAAATTATCATTCAAACATAAAGTTAAAAGAGTAATATTCATAAATGGTCCTTATGGTTTTCATATATATATATATCAAGTGTAGTCCTTAATTTTTTTTGGTCTCATGGAAGGTCCTAGTGGTTTTAAAACTTTTCATCCACAATCACAATTTTGTTATGTTAAGTCACAACATGTGCAATACATGCCCCCTAAAGAGACCATCAAACATCGGTTCATCCAACCACCAACAACATCTTGGGACAAGGTCTATTTCTGTTTTTTTATTGCGTATATACCCTGGTGTAATTGAACAATCCATCACCGAAATTCAACTTTAACTTTAGTAGTCTAGGTGTTGTAATTTGATTATGAATAGGTGTTATTTGATCATCAACATCATCGAAATTACTAGTAGGAACCATTGTTTTGACTTGATCTTTCTTACTTCCTAGCCTTATGTTCTTCAAGTTTGTTCTTAGGGATTTCATAATAACAGTCTAATGGTGACTGGAATGCCAGAAAAGCCTTCAACAATTGGTGTATGATGGGGAGCTCCTACATAAAGTTGATGAGTTGGGGGCACCTTAGAGAAAGATGTTGAATTCGCCAATAACAGGTGACTTTTTTTTTTTTTTTTTTTTTTTTTTGGGGGGGGGGGGGGGGAGGGGGAGGGAGGGAGGGGAACAACATCCAACATGGTGAAAAAACATCAAACTTACATGTAGATTAATTCTAACCGAAGGATTCTACAAATTGTTGACTACTTATGTTATTCTCATGTGGTATGCCATTATTGTTCACAATCAGCTTCAAACATGCTTCATGTAAGAAATATAATCATGATAACGGTGTCAACTATCATCATAATGTTCAATGTTGGAGCCTTTTTCTCAGAGAAAGATTGGGAGTTTAGTTGTCTGGATGTCTCGAAGCATTATCATATTGTACAAAGGAGCTGACAATGAGTATCTTTACTTCTTTGTAAAATCGAATGATATATATATATATCTATATATATATATTATATATATATATATATATATATATATATATATATATATATATATATATATATCGGTGAACCAATGAGTTCATCTAAAGACTCTTAAGATGGTGGTGTCATGGTGTGCAAGAAAGCTACTCTAGTGGTCCATATTGTGTTCATAAGAAAATACTAGTGGTGGTTGTGGTGGCTAGTGGTGGTTGGTTCGATAAGAGAGGGAAAGAGAAAGATGTTGGGGTTTATGGGTGTGTGGGTTGGGGTAAAGTTTATTTATTCAAAACTTTATAAATGGTCCATATGATATGTAAAAGACGATTTTGCCCTTACATGCCTCACACATGTTTAAACTTAATAGAAGAAAATACATAATGTACACACGATCCATTAAAAGTTTTCAAACAAAAGGGACCATCCTTGATATTAAAATTTAGCAGAGACTAAACTTGATATTCTGAAAAACCTAAGTTAAAATTATAAAAATACAATAAAGATTATATTTATATCTAAAAAACGAGAACGAATAGCATGAACCACAAAATGTGAATTTTGGGGTGAGGGTGTTAATTCACGTGATTCTGGGGGTATTCCGGTAACACATCCAATTCTCATGGCCCCACTCTTCCCGCACGCACAAATCGTGTGACCTCGCACGTTTGGTTTCATATGCTTCACGCACACCCAATCGCCACCCTCCCTCATCCGTGCCAATTCCTTCACACGAGTGCCGATAACCTAACCCTCGCCGGGAAATCTATTCCTCTCGTAATTTATCCCGCCGGTGCCACCGGCGTCATGTCTCAACGGTTCCGTTATGTTTCCGGCGGATGCTGAACTCCGGCGAGCTCACCTCAGAAGATCTAACCAGTTGTTAACGTGTTATTTGTGAGTTGTGACGGAGGTGCGAAAACCTTTTTTTTATAGCTTTATGAAGAAGATGGAGAGTTTTGAAGCTTTGACGGTGAGGAAATTTTCAGTTTTTGAGAATTTTGTTGGTGCTTTAGTGAAAATGTTTCCGCTTGTTTGAAGTTGAGAAATTGTGAAATTCCTTCGTTTCTCGTTTGAATGTTACTGAATCTAGTTCGTTCTCTCTTTCGAAGTTTTGTTTTTGGTGGGAACTATGCGACTTGATGAAAGTCGTGATTTTTCGTTGATAAACACTTATACTTGACATGTTGGCATGAGAAATGGTGTCAAAAGTTCCAACTGTCGAATGTAGAGAATACAAATTCTCCAGTTATTGCGTGGTTGAATTTGTTGATTGTGACGATTGAATGAAAATTTGGTGGCATCAGTCAAAGTATTGTACATTGGAAAGGAAATATAAATTTTTACATGTATTTCCACTAATATCTAATTCATCCATTTTTTGTTGTGCTTTTGCGTGTTCAAAATTGCAATCAGTGGTCGACGTTTTTTAGCTGAGTTCTGTATGGATTTACAGAAAGCTTCTGACATTGTTTCATAATCTGTAACCTTGTGAACAGAGTTCGAGGGAGTTCAAAATTGTGTATGCTGCTGATCATGGAGGGATTCTTCTATGTGTAGCATGTTGAAGCTTTAATAGTATCCTCCCGGTCTGTGCAGTTTAATGGCAACTGAAATGCAGAGATTTGGGACAAGTGAAGAAGAGGATGAAGAAATGGGATTGGATGTGAAAGAAGAAGGTGAGAATGACGAAGATGATGATGATAAGAACTCAACACCTCCAACAGTGGTAGGTGTTGATGGAGGACTAATGACATCAAGCAGAAGCAATAACAGGTTTCAACATCAACAGCAGTTTCAAGATCAGATGACTCCACAAGGAGGTGGTAGAAGGTGTAGACCTATTGAAGAAAAGGAAAGAACAAAGCTTCGTGAGCGACAACGAAGGGCAATTACTGCAAAGATCTTGGCAGGCCTAAGAAGACATGGGAACTACAATCTTAGGGTTAGAGCCGATATTAATGATGTGATTGCAGCCCTAGCTAGGGAAGCTGGTTGGGTTGTTCTTCCTGATGGAACCACCTTTCCATCAAGATCACAGGGTGTGAGACCTGCTGCTGGTGTATCAACTTCATCCACCTCACTGCCATTGCAGCAGAACCAAGCTCCTTCTCTAAGAGGCATCTCTTCTGCCTGCCCAATTGAGATGGATAATGAGGCATGCCAAATGAAAGGTTTATTTGTTCCTTCTTCTGCTTATGATGTGTCATCAAGTGGTCGATCTCAGTCTTCTCATCTGCTGGGAGTTGAAGTTGATGGTCAAGATGATCAACTGATAGGGGTTTCTGTAGATACTGTTGCAGGCAGGCAGGTTAGAGAACCATTTCCCTGTTTAATTTCTGATTTCTGTTTCCAAAAATCAACAATATCTTTTGCATCTCTTTGTAGGTTGTTGACATGCCTTCAAAGTTACAAGAACGGGATTTTGCGGGTACTCCTTATGTTCCTGTGTATGTATTGCTTCCTGTAAGTTCCGTATTCTTGCAAAAAAATTAACATATCTCCTCGTGCATTGCATAGTTAAAGGACTTATTACAAATTGGTGTGCGTGCAGTTGGGAGCAGTTAATATGAAGTGTGAAGTTGTAGATCCTGATGGTCTACTGAATCAATTAAGGGTTTTGAAGTCTATGAATGTTGATGGTGTAATGGTTGATTGCTGGTGGGGTATAGTTGAAGCACATGTTCCACAGGAGTATAACTGGAAGGGATATAAAAGATTATTTCAAATGGTGCGCGAGCTTAAGCTCAAGTTACAGGTTTGTCCTCTTGGAGACATTTTGTCACCTGTTTTTCATGTATTTTGAAAATAAAACAAGTGACGATAATGTAAAGTTTGGGTCAGGTAGTAATGTCTTTCCATGAATGTGGAGGCAATGTTGGTGATGATGTTTGCATACCCTTACCTCATTGGGTGGCTGAAATTGGTCGGAGCAATCCGGACATATTTTTCACAGATAGATCAGGAAGACGCAATCCAGAATGTCTCTCATTGGGGATTGACAAGGAACGTGTTCTAAGAGGTCGCACTGCCTCAGAGGTACTATTTCCAAAATTCTAAAATATTATTTATCGGACATGTTATAATGTAGTGAAAAACACAATGAATGTATAGGTCTATTTTGACTACATGAGAAGCTTTCGGGTTGAATTTGATGAGTTCTTTGTAGATGGAGTTATTTCAATGATTGAAATTGGATTGGGTCCATGTGGGGAGCTTCGGTATCCATCTAATCCTGTGAAACATGGTTGGAGATATCCAGGTGTCGGTGAATTTCAGGTAATCACAATTACTTGTAAAAAAGTTGTTGATGACTAGTATTTGAAAATTAGAATTTCATGCCTTGAGAGTTTTTGAAGGTTATTATTATTCTTGTGTTGTATTTCCAAGAAATTGAAAAATGTTGATTTTTCAGTGTTACGACCGATATATGTTGAAGAGCCTGACAAAGGCGGCTGAAACAAGGGGACACTCGTTCTGGGGAAGAGGACCAGAAAATGCAGGTTCCTATAACTCAAGGCCGCATGAAACCGGATTCTTTTGCAATGCAGGGGATTACGATGGCTACTATGGTCGCTTCTTTCTTAATTGGTATTCTCAGCTATTGATCAACCATGCTGATCGCCTGCTTTCTTTGGCTAAATTTGCTTTTGAAGGGACTTTCATTACTGCAAAGGTACTTTTCTTTTCTTTAAAGAAAAAGAAAGTTAGTAGCTTCCAAAATGAAAATGTCATGTTATATTAATTCCTGAGACCTGAGCTAGCAGCTATCAGGTATTCATTGGTGGTACAAGACATCGAGTCATGCTGCTGAGTTGACTGCTGGCTTTTACAACTCATCCAATCGTGATGGCTATGCTCCGATTATCGAAGTCTTGAAGAAACACGGGGTTGCCTTAAACTTTACGTTGGCCCACATGAACATCAACATGGACATGGACATGGACATGGACTCCTCGGAAGCCCTTGAAGATCCTGATGCTTTATCTTGGCAAGTAAGTACCTTTTTTTTTCTTTTTCTTTGACTTAATGGAAAAGTAGAATGTCTTAATAAATAATAAGAATAAAATGAAAGTACATTAATTATTTGCAGGTGATGAATGCGGCATGGGATTCTTGTATAGCTATGACTAGTGAGAACCCACTTCCATGTGTTGATAAAGTAAGCTACAATTATATATTGGAGAAGGCTAAGCCTATGAACGATCCAGATGGGAGGCATTACTCTGCTTTTACTTATCTTAGACTCGGTCAGCTTCTCATGGATCCTCACAATATCATGGAGTTTGAACGATTCGTCAAGAGAATGCATGGTAAACTTACTTCATCCTACTTTCATTTTCTTCATTATAAGGCCATGTAAATTTACCATTTTACCCTTTGATGATGACACTTTTTTTTTTTTTTTTTTTTTTTTACAGGGGAGGCGGTTCTTGAGATCCATGCCTAAGGTGGATGGAAGCAGAGTGGAGATGTGCAATTATAATATTAAGATTTATATACTAACCAAATCCAAGAGGTGATATTTTTAGTATTACTGTAAATGTGAATACAAGTGTAGAGAAGAAATCCAGGGTCAGGCCATATGAAGAAGAAAAAAAAGGTAAATGAATTAGTCTGTTTAGGGTTAATGGTATTTATTTGTGATCATATATTTGATACACTTTAAAATTTGGAGAAATTAAATATCAGATTTTACCTAATTTCTTTTCTTTACTTGATGTCAAATATATATGACACCAAAGTAATATTTTAATCTGTTGGTAAAATGTAAATTGTAAAAAGAACATACTTTTGGTCATTTTTATTTTAATAATTTTTTTAGTATCAACATTTAAAGGCATATGCTATAAGTTTTATAATAAAATAAGGATCTGGTTACGACAAGTTTCATTTTTGATTATAAACTCGTAATATTAACCTCTTGGCAATGCAACTTAAACGATTTTCAGTAACGAGTTTACATTCTCTCATTTACATATACAGACTTTCAACTTTAACACAGACCGGATTTCAATACTTGCGTTTAGTTTATTAGTAATCCAACCTTAACCAACGTTTAATTGAAAAAAAATAACATCTACATTTATGGAGTGAAATTGCGGTTGAGAGATTAGAAGGCATTTTTTAGTAGTTTGATGAAACAAAACATTCAATACCTGTTTATACCAACAAACACATAAATGTTCACAAATGGATATATAATATACCCATTAGACCAAAATAAAAAATAAATCACCTTTTCCAATGGCTATATGCAAAAACCGGTTTGAACTCAAACTGGGTTAGGTTTTGGCTTCAAACAAGTCCGGTTTCAATACCCTTATGTCTCCAAACTACCTTTTTGCTTGTGCTAATCTAAAGATTAAAAAAGAAATGGACAACCCAAGCCCAATCTTGGTTAGGCAGGGTCACCAATAATAAAAAAACAGGTTATTATACATTTTCTTGAATAAAAAATGACTTGAAATACGCTATTTTACATGTTCGTAAATAGGTCTTAGACCCACCCAACCATTTATGATTTAAGAAACAACAAATTGAGCAAGTTATTTATAATAACTCGATAAGCTATACAAGCACATGAATCTTACAAAAGAATGGTGATTCTGAAAATACATACATATATGATGTATCTAAAAATCTATCTTTTAAAAATCTTCAATACCAATCACTCTTCAACACACTTTCACCTTTTTCATCTGTGTCAAGAATCCTCGCAGCTAATTCATCCCAGCTTTGTCTCCTTGAGGACCCATGGGCTGAGTCATTCATGCTTTGAGCCTTCTGGAAGGTTCCATATTCACTAGGCAAGTAAGCTTCCGGAACGTCTAGTGCAACCGCTCTGGCTAGTGCCGCCTTGTGTTCCTCACTGTGCTCCATGGCTAAAGATGTACTCCTTTCCATCCTTTGTTGTGTTGGGATATCCATCACATGATCTTTCTCCTTCAATGTCTGAGAACCCAGGGTTCAGATAAGAGATTAATTAAATGTTGCTTTTAATTTATAAAACTACACAAAATGAGGACTTAGACTTACATCAAGTGCACTTTGAAACTCACGCTCCATTAAAGCAATTGAATGATCACTAATTATATGGCATGAGATAACCATGTGCTCAAATCTCCCGTCCACTGGCACAGCTGTTTTCACAGTAGGTGAAATTCTTCCAACCCTGCAACAAATACATTAATCCAAAATACGTCTCATACCCTTCAACCAAGGGCATATATCTACTTCAGCTTGAAAGGTAACAGGTTTCTGTAACTACAAAGGGCAAAAGGGGAAGTTTTTTTCATCAAGTCATGTATGGGTATGTTTCAATTATAGTCCGAATAAACCATCTGAATGAGACTAAATGACCATTTTAGCCTTACATTCCAAAAAACAGATTTCACAATATTCATTAATCTTAACAGTATTCAATCAATTTTGACGTGAAAGGGTTGGGAGGAAAACAAAGAATGACAAGTAGGTAAAAAGGTTTGTGTCTTAGTGTATTAAGCCGCTATTTTTTTAGCTCGACTCATTAAGTCATTATGTCCAGATTAAGTCAAAACGAAACAGTCATGTATACATATCAAATGTTCAACCCATTAAACTCATTAAGTTAACAAATTCATCAAATATTTTCCAAAACCATGCAACATGTTCTTAAATCATTGTGATATCTGTGTATAAAAATATATTGTTTGACATACCCGAATGGTTTCCTGACAAGAACATGATAAAGGCGACCAGGTGCATATAAACGTCTTGGATCTTGAAGCATGTGCTCTTGCAGTGTGCATGTTTCCTTTAAACAAGTGGCACACAATATGCACGGGAAACTGTTAAAACAAATAACCATCATGATCCAAAACTTGTAAAAAAAAAAGATATTCATCAAATGAGATGATGATCATATAGCTAACTATTGAGGCATAAAGATTGATGCTTGAAAATGAAATAATATGGAAATGTGACCAAGAACATACCAAAAAAGGAACTTGAAGAGTACTTCCAATGCTACACTTGTTCTAGGCATGAAATCATCCTGGTTCATTGGATTAAGATTTAAGAGTATTAGAAACAAACATTATCCTAACATCATACGAATCATAGGATTTGTCAAAAAAAAAAGAATCTACAATAAAGACTAAGGGCCATTTCTACAATGAAGATTGTGACCAAGACAAAATTGAAGACAATGATATAAAAATCACAATTTTTTGTCCCACCCAAAAAGTTAGGACAATAATTTACTCTCGACTCGATTCTTTCATATTTGCAAAAGACATGACTACCCTTCTCACCCTCATCATCGAAAAAATTACCAATTTATAGCAATGTCATCGGGATACAAAATGTTTACCTGAAGAACAACAGAATTGATGACATCAGCATATCTGACAGCCAAATTCAGTGACACACATCTAGCAGGAGCAATTGCAAAACATCTGATCCTTTTTCGGTCAATATTTCCAATTTTGTCTCTGTTCTTCACCACCAACATAGTCAACAAAGTAACAACCCCTGCCCCTAAAGAATGTCCAGCAAAAGTCAAAGTATAATCCTCATATTTTTCAACCAATTCTTTCAAAACATCACATTCCGTGTCAAACACCCATTGAGCAGCTTTCAATAACCCATTATGAACATACCCTCCATCAAACTTCGTCTGTCCCAATTTATCATCAAGCAAGAGTAAAAAATCACTTTCTTTCGCCATATTCAAACCGCTAATAAGCAAAAGTATATCTTGATTGTCTTTATCGATGTAAATCATATAAGGCGACACCTTCCCTTGATTTTCGTCGTAATTTTTCTTCAAAACCACGGAATCGGGATTAATTCCATATCCTCCGGGTGGAGCCCAGAGTGGGTTACGGATGTCGAACTCGTAAACGCCTAAAATATATCTACAAATGCGTGGGACAGGTTCGAATTCAGTTGAAGACGCGAAACCCCAGTTCTCGCTTTCTCGACCGGCGGTGTATAGACATTTCTTCCATGCCCAACGAGCACAACCTAAACAGTAGACGCATTCGAGAATAGGGCACGCACAAACAAGTGACATTTTTTTCTGGAATTAATCTAATAACAACTGATTCTGGAAGTAATCTGTTGGGAATTAGTCGAGAAAAAAAAGGTTGAAGCTTGATGCAGGACTAATGAACTTTCAACTGATTATAATCTATATATGGGCAATGATATAATCAGTTGAGAGTAGAAATTTGAAGAAAAATCACCTGAAATTGCTGATTAAATCAGAAAATTAAAATAGAGTTGGGATTCGATGGAAGTTGGTGTAGAACATTGGGAGTTGATTCGAAGAGTGTATGGGAAACCCTAGATGAATTAGAGAAGAACAGTTGCTGTAGCAGGTAGTGATTCTTATGGGTTCTGGAAAAATCTTGGATTTGGTTTCAATCAGAGAAGAATCTTGACGGGCAGATAGATTCCCCCGAGCATATGCTAACGTTGTGTTCTCTCGTTCAAGAAATAATTATTATTTTTGTAGGTGTTGTGGACTATTACAAATACTTTTTTTCGTTATTTTGAGTGAAGAAAAAGAAAATGATCTGTTTTAGTTATTTTTTTCGTGTTTTGAGTGAAGCAAAAGAAAAATGAAAAAGAAAATAAAAGTTTATACCTGTACAAATACTTTCTATAAATTGAAGTTGTTTATTTAAATAAATGTTTTTTTTCTAGAAAAGCCTAGTGCTATATATAAAAATAAAAGTTCTTAATCTAGAATAAAGGGTTGTTTGGTAGAAAAACATAGTGTTATATATAAAAATATAAGATATTATATTTATAGTGATTATATATGGGTGTTTTTATATGTATTCATTGTTTTTCATCGTCTTTAGATCAATTAAATCAATTATTTAATTATCAAATAAATATTTAAATTATTTAATGTGATTTCAACAAGATTCTAAATGGCATGAGATGTCACACATGAAGTGATGACAAATGTCAAGCCTCAAAGTCATGACATTTATAAAGGCGTGACAATTATATATATATATATATATATATATATATATATATATATATATATATATATATATATATATATATATAGTTAGGTTTAAATGTTTCTACTATCTATTGTGTGCATGTAGGATTGATTCTGGACCAATTATTTTAGTTATTTTAAGAAAGTAATTAATGCATTTTAAATGCTGAAGATTTAATTAACACCCATTATATCTTCAACATCTAATATGCATTAATTACTTTCTTAAAATAACTAAAATGATTGGTCCAGAATCAATCCTACATTCACACAATAGATAGTTTAAGCAAAATAAGTTCAATTTATAGAATTGTATCGAGTTTTTAAAAATATAATATCAATATTTTATAAGAAAAAGTTAACAAAAACTCAATTATTTAATGTCAAATTAGAAAGAAAAAAAAAATTATGCTTCGAAAAAACTTCGCGCTATAACATAATAAGACGCGCATAGCCACACTTTTTGAGCGTCAGGCCTAACAAAGACTCCTTTCATGTTTTCGGGATGGCTATATCAAGCCTCGACGCCATAATACAACACGTTATTTAAAACATTGGATTTCAATAGTGGTACTTTATCTTATATCTATATTTAATATTATTCTTACCCAACCAATACAATTCACCCTAAATAACAATTTATGTTAAAAGTCACCAACTATTTTCTAAAAAATAGCAAATTTATCCAAATAACCACAATTTTTCGTAGGTCACAATCTACAAAATCTAGGTGACATGCATTTTCTTGTTAGGCCGGAGGGAGTGCTGCCGCACTCCTTTATAAAACCGCAGTGACACGTAGACGCCACCTCATCCATTACCACAAAAGTGTAGTTTCATACCACACCCAAGGAGTGGTGCCACACTTGAGTATTTTTTTTCTTACTTTTTTTTAATAAATAAAAGGGACCAATCAGAGGAAGGTAAGAAAAATGAACCAATCACGTTGTTTGAAAGAGTGCTCCCTTGGAAGGCCGCACTGCACTCTCTACCGCACCTAGGGGGCGGTGTTTGTGCTTATGTGGCAAGGGGAGTGCGGTCCAGGCCACACCCACTCTCTCTGGTCTTAATAAATTCATAGGTTACCAATTATTAGTTGGCCTGTGAAAATTTCTGTAAGTTGTGAAAGCCTCACAGAAGCTTATATTTTTTGGAAAAAAAAATGTATTGTCAAGTTTAGAGGAATGTAAAAAATTAGACTGCTAATGAAAACCAAAGTTTTATTGTGAAAATATTTACAGTGTACTAACAAGACAAGTATACATAATTGCGGTTTTAGATCGAACCCTAAAATCATCTCCAACCAATATCAAAATTCATATTTTTACACCAAAATCTAGGGTTTTGAAACTTTATTTGTGCATGCAAACGCTCCAATAAATCAATATCTTTTTTTTTAAACAAGTTTGCAATTTACCAATTTGGCTCCTATATTTTATTCCTCAACTTGTCAAACTTTCATATTCATCCTCGTTGGGTAGTTTTTCAAATGAAGCCGTTTTTTTTCCCTTGAAACCTTTATTTGTTACCAATTTAGTCGATATGCCATTTAACTTTTAAGTTTTAACGTATGATTGTGACCTCTGATTTTTTATTTTGATATTGATTTGTTTTTCGTTAATTTTACTTTGGTTTTATCTTAATTTTATTTTTTGACTCTAAGGTTTACAGTTGCTTGAACATAAAGATACAGGGACATTTTTGCAGTCTGTTGAACATAAAAGTTTCCATTTTCTTGAAACAATTCCTCCAAACTCTAGTCTCTTAACAAATAATTCAAGTAGCAAAACTATACAAAATTCTGCATTCTTCAATCTAATAGAGAAACAATATGTATTCACAAAATCCAAAATCAATGATAAAAGCCATACATAAGCATCAAGTGTTTAGATCAAATCATATCCAGCTAGCCTAAATACCTAGAAGCCATGAATTTAGATTTGAAAAAAAAAAGCATATTTAGATTCTCATTCAAACATGAACAAACCTCACGTGAAGCGATCTTGTGAGATGATATTTCTTGTTTTGAAGGCAGGATGGATGATTCCTTTGTTGAAGGAGTCTAGCTTCTCAATTCTTGAAATACAATCTTTCATTCTCTTTACAACCGACAACATTGCAGAATCATTGCTGGAAACTTTCTGTTTAATTGTTTCTATCTTTTCAGTGTGTGCCACGTCATCTTCTACTAATGCAACAACACCTTCTTCTGAATCAATCAAGGAGTTACATAACAAGCCAATACTTACTTCTTACAACTTATGAATTAAACAATAAACATGTTGGGCAATGTAACTTATTTTTTATCTGTAATACCAACATACTTATATAAAGGGAACACCCGCATCTTCATAACATGGTTTTATGTTAAATAATTTGGTCACTTTATTTGTTTATTCCTAAAAATGTTTGCACTTCCATTATTGAATATTCAAGTTAGTAATAACTAATAACTAATAAAAAGGTGATAATATGATTCCAATTTAGCAGTTCGCATAGATATATTCATTGGCATGAAAACTGATCTGAGTTTAGTTAAATAATAAAGGCATAAAACTAATTACATTCACAAAAACAAGTGTTATACAATTAGCAGTTCACATAGATATAATGCCCACACGGTTTTATCTCTTTGGAATTTGAATATGAATTAACAATATAGTGGAAAAACATATATTCTTGTTGACCCAAAGATTCCACACTTCTCGTACCATTACACCAAGACTTTTACATCCACTATTCAATATTTACCCAAAAGAAAGTAAAAGATGCTACCTACCATCATCACAGTTTGAAGATGTTCACATAATGTTACTTGAGGTTATGAAAAAATATATCCATCTTAAATGTATACGACAATTTGAGTTAGATATGAGTTGAGTTTGCCATCAGGAACGTTCCCTAATGACTAATGAGCTTATTTCATAGTGTACTTACAGAAATAGCATTACATAAGATGCAAAGTGCATACATCTGCGTAAACCCTAAAATTAATTGGATAATACAAAATACCTATCTTCAGATTCTACCAAAACTGTACACAGTAACATACTAAGCAGCTAATTAACAGCCCTAGAATGTTTCTTATCATGTAAATCACAATTCGCAAGAAGAAAAGAAAGATTACATGTGTACCTTGATTGGCATTACTAGAGGGTCCATGATCATTATCAGAAAGGTTAAAATTAACAGGTCTCTGAGCAGAAAGAATGGAGTCGAGAGTATTCTGAAGCTGAGCAGGCAATGTCTCTCTAAATTCGGCTATTTTCTGAGCCATAAGGTTCACATCTTCCTCTAATTTATCAAGCTCCTCAATTTCATCGGTGACCTCATGTATGGCTTCTCCTTCGGGTTGACGTTGCTCCGTCATCTACAGCTTTTTCGGATCTTCGGACTCCGTTGATGAGTTGAGTAGCAGAGTTTGGATGAAATCGAATCAGGTCAGCATTGTGTTTAGTGAGGTGTGTGCAAAAGGGGAATTTAGTGGTTAGGGTTTTGGAATTTTGAAAATTTAAAACGAAATAAAAGGAAATGCATGGAGCGTTGGTTTTGGTTACTTTAAAACGAAATCAGGAACAGGGATACAAATCGAGAATTTTTTTCGTTTTCCCTGTTATGAATAAGTAATGAAGATACAGATGACTAACACAAATGGGTCCATAGCTCAGTGGTAGAGCAATTGACTGCAGATCAATAGGTCACCGGTTCGAACCCGGTTGGGCCCTTTCTAATTATCTTTTTTCATTTTCCCTTTCTCACCCCGTCAATGAGAACAAACTTGTGGTTTTCAAACATAATAATCCACATATTTGTGTACTATATCAATTACATTAAAAATATTTTTTTTATAAGAACAAATTTGAGAAAACCAATTGATTTTTACCCAAAATGTTATCGACATCTTGTTTTTCTAACATGTGCTTCTTCAACCTCCCAAACAAAAATGCTTGATTTTCTAACACCTAAATAAGAAAAAACATCATTTTTGGTCCATGTGTTTTTTTTCAAATCTGAAATTTAGTTCCTAAGTATCAAAAATTTCACAGATGGTCCCTGTGTTTTCAAAACTTTTGATGTTTGGTCTTTATTGCTCACTCCGTTAAGTTTTGTCCGTTAACTGAAGGACATTTTTGTCATTTTACTATCACAGGACCATTTATAAAGTTTTGTCTTATTTAAAAAAGAAAAGAAAAAATGAAATATAATTATTTAATACAAAGGGTCTCATTAGGGGATGTTATTCGGGTCGGAACCGAACCGAACCGACCCGAATCCGAAGAACCCGCCCGAAAACCGATGTAACACTCCAAATCAGGTATGACCTTGTAACCCTTGAGGTATTTCCATTATATCATAAGAGACCCTTAAGTACGCTGGGCGTACTTATGAGTACGATTAGCGTACTTGGCAAGGAGGATCGCGGAGAGGCAGCACGTACGCTGGGCGTACGTGCCAGGATGTTCAAACCCTAAAATGCGGACTTGAGACCTATATAAACACCCTTAACTCTTTTGAGCCTCACCCTTAACAACCTCCTTCAACTTCAAACGCCTCTGAAAACCCTAATATCATTTTTGAGTGCATTTTGAGCTTCAAGAGTGCATTTTTGGTCCTTTTAGTGTTCATCCAAAAAGAAGAAGTTGTCAAGGAAGCTTGGGGGTGTCATTTGGCTTCAAGAACCTGCATATTGTCGACCTTGAGGAGCTTCTGGAGGTATAAAGCTTGCACCTTTCCATTTAAATCACTAGATCTAGCTAGGGTTTTCTAGTTTTGTTCCTTTGGTTGGTTTTGGACCTCCTCTTGTGAGCTAAGAAACTCCAAAGGATGGAAATGACAGATCTGAGGTCCCTTAGTCTTTTTTCAACATAAAAATGGAGTCTTGGTGGGTATTTTGACCTCATGCATGGTTTAAGAGCTTTAAAAAGGTCTTAATGAGGGTGTTGGGAGCATATGGGACATGCAAAGGCATAAAGTTGCCAACTTTATGCCTTAGGTCGTCTTAATAGGCTTAGATCTGACTTCTGGACGTAAAAGAATCGAGTATTAAGCACTTAATGGAAAAAGTGCTTAATCTGTTAGTACGTTGGGTGTAACCCAGTGTACGCTGCGAGTAAGCCCCATAACCACAGTACTCTGTGGGTACCAGGATGGTACGCTAAGCGTACGTATCACAGTTCGGTTTGAATCTGTTTTGGGCTTTTGGATTGTTGGGCCTCACTTGGTTGTGGACTTGATTGCATTTTGGGAATAGTGGGCCATTTTATCTGTTTGGCCCATTGGTCTTATGATTGGGTCTTATTGGGCCAAGAGGCCCATTAATGAATTTTGGTCATGGACTTTGGGCCCATTATCAAAGAAAGGAGGTTTGGGCCTTCATGGGAGGACTTGGGGTTTGGGTTTTCCCTTTCATTGTGATGTCCTAACATGGGTTAATATTATTATTCAGCACGGGAGGTTACCGACTGTTAGGAGAGCAACTTTCGCATTCAGCAGACAAAGGTGAGTCTTCTCACCATACCTATGGGTCTAAGGCACCAATGCCAACCCATTATGTGATTATGTTTATGTGTTAGTCATTTCAGTGATTTGATATGCTATGTGATTGTATGTTATTGGATGTAAGACCATGTGGGGTAGCCCATGACATTCCTAGGTAAAGACCATGTGGGGTAGCCCATGACATTCCTAGGTAAAGACCATGTGGGGTAGCCCATGGCATTGGATGTAAGACCATGTGGGGTAGCCCATGGCATTCCTAGGTAAAGACCATGTGGGGTAGTCCATGGCACGAAGGTGTAAGACCCTGGGGGGAGCCCATGGCATGCTTACAGGTTTATGTATGCATGGCTTATGTGTTATATGTAGCTTTTATAGCTAACAGGATATGTGATATGTGTATTGTGTGTGGTATGCTCTGGGAAACTCACTAAACTTTTTAGCTTACAGGTTGTGGATTTGTTTCAGGTACTTCAGATCCCAAGAGCAAAGGCAAGGCGTGATGATGCGGCGTGCACTTTCTCCCAGGCGTTTTTATGGACACTCTGATGTTGGAATAAAAGTTGTATTTGACATACGTTTTGAAAACAATTATGATTGAATTTCTTAAATCATGGGAATGTATTTGACTATTCAAAAATGAAAAATTTTCTTTGAAAAATTGGGTCGTTACAACCGAATAAGGGTAATTGCATGAATCGAAAACCAAACCGATTAACCAATACGGGCTCGGTTCGGTTCGGGTATTAATCAGTCCGGTTCGGTTATTATCCGAATAACCCAAATAACATGTACAAGTTGATTAAATACCTAATATAACCGAAAAAACTGAATAACCCGAATAACAGAATAATAATGTACTTTTATACATCAACATAAAACATTCAAAGACTAACATAACACAATAACACATTGAAAACATAACATTTACATAGTAGATTAACATAATGAGAATTAATTTCTTACTTGAGTTTCTTGAGTTGGAGCTCAAATTTTCCATGACTAGACAAAGTAAAAATTCGTGAATCCTTAGAGACAATAGGAAGGGTTGATTTTTGAAAATTTGAAACAAGAGAAATGATCGACAAAAGTAATTTCGAGTTTAGAAGTAGATGAGAATATTGGTCGATTTTGAAACGACGAGAACGAGTGTAGAGTTTTTTTTTCTGTTATGAACGAAGAGGACAAGAATGTGAATCATGATTTTGTATTTTTTTCGATCAGAGAAAGGGGAGGATGAATGCTTATTCGGGTCGGGTATTTAGAACAGAATAAACTATTATTTGGGTAACCCGAACCGAATAACCCGAGAATCGAATAAGCATAATATACATACCCGAATCAAATTTCTTATTCGGGCCTAATTCGGTTCGGTTCGGGTTTTCGAGCCAAATTCTCATCCCTATTCTCTCTCTCTCTCTCTCTCTCTTGTAATTTCCCGGTCAACGGTTTTCTTGACAGAATTTATGATTGCTTTCATCAGCACCTCCATCAAGAACAGATTCACAACAAAGTCCTTGTGGAAACTCAATCCAAGAACAGGGCCGTACGCACCTTCATCAACACCTCCATCAAGAATAGATTCACAACCTAAGTCAAACAAGGAGGAACAAACTTATACTCTATCGAACAATGGAGCTTGTTGCTAGTTCTATGGGTATTGTTTGACTGATTTAAAAACCAACCCAAATAACCTTAAACTTGTTTCTTGCCTCCGATCCCATGATTCTGATTTCAAAACCAACATAAAAAAACCTTAACCAAATTTAAAGGGAAATCAGGATGGGAAATCGATAGAGGGGTGAGATTAGATGTATGAAGGTGAAGATGCAGAACAATATCGATGCCCTCTTCGGCCTTCACGTGAAAATCCAGTTGCTTCACCTACTAATCCAATTGCAATAAAGGATGTTGATTACATTGGTGATGTTGGATGAGATGTCGAATTTTGCTGTCATCGATCGTCTACTACAAATCCAATTGTGATGCCACAGATGAATTTCCCAATGACGGTGGTTTTCAGATGTTGAAAGGAACGATGATGGTGTCATGATTTCTTCCGATTTAGGGATGTACCAGGGGAGAGAGAAAGAACCTTCAACTTCATGTCTGGAATTGAAAGTGCCAAAGCGAAGAACATAATGAAAAGCAACTTTTTATCACGTTAAATCTTTACAGGAAAGTGGATACATATATGTTAATTTCGAATTTATTTCAGGTCAAAAATAGATATGGGACTCATTACTTTAAGTGTATACCGATCAGAAGAAGTCTTTCAAATTCATTGAAATCGAGATCGCAGAAGAAGATTTTGGAAAGATTTGAAGAGTTTGGTTGTTGGTGGAGATTTGGTTCTGGTTTATCATGGAGTTGTAGCTGAAGAAGATGGAACTATTTATGCTTTTGCAGGTTAGTTTTGATACAAAAAGGAAAGATAAAGTTTATGAAATGTTACTGTAATCGACTTCATATGAACCATGGATTCTTTGTTACATCTGAAATATTCAAAATTATGGGGTTATTGTGGTTTCATCTAGGTGTATTTTGTGTGTGAGAGAGTAATTAAAATTCCAATAAAAAATTAGTGAAATAAAATAATTTTTATTTGTTTCATAGCTTTATTTGGTCACACTATGGAAAAATAAGATCCTAAAAGATGGTTTACAAGTAGAGATGGCAAAAAAACCCATACCCGATGGGTACCCGAACCCGAATTGACCGGGTAAATCCCCGAATTGATCGGGGATGGGTACGGGTACGGGTATTACCCGAATGCAAAAAACGGAGATGGGGACGATGATGGTTCTACCTATCGGGTACCCATACGTAATTCAAATTGTGAAAGGGAGGGTAAACCTGGTATTTCATATATATATATATATATATATATATATATATATATACATATATATATATATAAAATTCATTTATGTTATATTTTTAATCAATTCAAAAATCTTATACGTAATTCAAATTGTGAAAGTGAAAATTCATTTATGTCAAGTGTAAATTCATTTATGTTATATTTCTAATCAATTCAAAAATCTTG